AAGGACTCACTCCTGGGTCATGGGCCCCGCCCCATGTGACTGGTCTGAGAGGAGGTGCTCACGCAGGGTCAGGTTGAGCACACTGTGGGGTTTTCCGGCCATCGACACAGGGGCGGTGGACATGGGGAAGGCCTGAGCTGGACAGGGGGTGGCTTCTGTCTCCTGCCTTTTCCTCCCATGCTCTTCACTCCAAGGTTGCTGATCTCTTCCTCCACCTGAAGGATGAGTTCCTTTCCAAGCCAGTCCTCATGAGACAGCCAATCTGTTCTCCATCCATCCATCCATCCATCCACCACCCATCCTTTCATCCACCCATACATCTACCTATCCCTTCTTCTTTCTCTCCCTCCATCTGTCCACTTACCCATCCATCTAGCAGCAATGCCAGACAAGCTGTGTGCCCTTGGGCACGTTGAACTTCAATTCTCTCATCAATAAATGAATATAATAATAGCAGTGACCTTATAGGACAGTTATGAATATGAATTGAGAATTTCCAAAGCACCGACATAAACTAGCACTCCAGAAATATTAACTGTTATTTTCATCACATGCTCACTGATTCATTTAACTAACATTTTCTGAGCACCTACTATGTGCTAAGCACTGGAGATACAAAACAAAGCTCACCTCCTGGTAAGAGGGCCAGGCAGCGTCAAGAGAGACGATGATATCATTAAATGAATACAGTTGCTGCTCCGCTAACAACAGAGTTGTTTCAATAAACCCATCACTAAGTTGAAAATAGCATAAGTCCAAAAGGCATTTAATACCCTGCTACATCTACTGTAAAGCTGAAAAATTGTTAAGTTGAACCATTGTAAGTTGGGGACCATCTGTAATAATGACAGCACACTGTGCTCCACAGTTAGAAGAGGATGCTCCAAGAACTCAAAGCACTAGGGGAGTAGGAATTCAGGGAAGGCTTCCTGGAAGAAATGACACTGAAGCTGAATCCCAAAGAATGAGCAGTTCAAAGCAGGATGTGGGGCATTCCTGGCTAAAAGGGAAGCACATTCAAAACCTAAAGTGGCACAGTGGCTCACGCCTATAATCCTAGCGCTCTGGGAGGCCGAGGTGGGTGGATTGCTTGAACTCAGGAGTTTGAGTCCAACCTGAACAAGAGAAAGAGAGACCCCATCTCTACTAAAATAGAAAAAAATGATAATAATTATTATTCCAACTTTGTGGCAGACACCTGCAGTCTCAGCTACTTGGGAGGCTGAGGCAAGAGGATCACTTGAGCCCAACAGTTTGAAGTTGCTATGAGCTATGATGCCATAGCACTCTACCCAGGGCAACAGAGTAAGACTCTGTCTCCAAAAAATTAAAACAAATAATAATTTTCAAAAACCCCTAAAGTAGGAGAGGATTGCTTTTCAAGGCATTGGAAGGGTAGTAGTACTGGTGTGTGAACTGGAAAGGAGAAGTGGTCTAGAGGGGTTTCTAGAGATGAAGGGCCTGGACCTGGAGGGGTGAAGGAGTTGAGGCACTGTGCTGGGGAAAGGGCCAGCAGGGAGGGCTCCAAGCCAGGCACTATGAGGCCACATGTGGGGTTTATAAAGTTTACTGTGTGAGTGTGGCAGAGAGCTCAGAATGGGTCTATTATCAGATAAGGACTGACCATGTCCCATGACCCAGTGCACAGATCCCGAGGTCTCCCAATGCCAATCACATTAGGGACTAAGGGGTTATCATGGGCATGCTTGACCCCTGAATTCCAGCCCCCTTAGTCTCCTCCCCATTCCTCTGACTCTCCTGGATCAGACTGGAACCCTGTTGTCTGCTCAGCTCCCCCTCCATAAGTTTCCCCAGCCTTCTCAGGTGGAATCACTGCCTGGTTCCTATCCTGGAGGAGACCACCAGGGAGAGACAGCAAGCCAGGACCCTAAGAAGGCTGAGCTGCAGTGGGGAGCTGGCGCAGAGCTGGATAGCTGGGAAAGGGTGCAGTGTTGGGACTGTGCACTCCATCCCCACATCACTGGGGCAGAGCTGGACAGCTGGGGAGGGGCACAGTGTTGGGACTGTGCACTCCCCCCTCCCACTGGGGCAGAGCTGGATAGCTGGGGAAGGACTCAGTGTTGGGACTGCGCACTCCCCCCCCCCCAGCCCTCTTTATGTGTTAAGTGTGTTCTTTAGGTCTCAGGTTGGCTGGCACCTCTCCCGGGAGCCCCCACTCTGCCTCTCAGTGCCCAAGTTAATGCCTCAGCTATGTGCTATGCCATCTCCTGGTCTGGAGCCTCACATAGCTCACAGGGTGGCGACTGTCAATCTCTTTGACTGTCTTCTCCCAGCTGGCTGAGCGCTCTATGAGAGCAGGCATTGTCTTACTGAGCTTTACATCTCAGCATCTGGAACCACGGCTGGCACTACGGATTCTCACTGTGTACCACTGGTGGGACAGACGGGTGGATAGAAAGATGGCTTAGATAGAATTTCCTTACCAGACCTGTTGGAAGGGGAGGTCTCACCACCCTGGATACTAATCCTCCAAACAGCATCACTGAGTCCTGCCCACCGGACAGCTCTGTCCTACCTTTCTGTCCTTCCTTGCTGACAGTGTGCTAAGGTTTTAAGGGAAAGGTCCATCTTGGGCTGTGTGATTCATGGTAAATCCCTTGCCCTCTCTGGGTTTTTATTGCCCCATCTATAAAATTGGGCTCAGTATATAAATGTATGTGTGTGTGTGTCCCTTCAAATGCAGATCCAAGTTTGTTGTGATGTTCAAAAATGCTTGTCAAAAAATCAAACGGTGTCTAATAATTCTAACCATATACATTTTTTTAAAAAGTTTACTTATGTTTGTTTGCAATACTTTAAGCTTAAAATGATGTTCATTTTGAAACTCAATGGGTTCTTGAAAAAAAAAATTGCACTCCATCATCAGGGGATATTTGGTAGTGTCAATATCTGACACTTGGCAGTCTTGCTAAGGAGCCTTCTCTCTATAGCTTCTATATCTATATCCATGCCTTCTCAGAGGCCTGCAAGTTAAAATAATCACTGTCCATGCTGGGGGTCAGGGCCACCTGGGGGTAAGAAACTGGAGGGGCTGTGACTCAGAGAGAGGCTAGACAATCAGTCAGCTGTTTCCAGGGATGACCTAGACACCCATCCATAACCTGATGGGATTGAAATCATTAAAACTGGCTTCTGACAACCATGTCTCTCCATTAAAAAAAAAAAAAACAATGGATACCGCTTTGAGCAAAGGTGGCACGGTGGAGTTTCTCCGGATGTCATTACACTTCTCAGACCTGGATGACTGAGCAGCCCATGCCCCAGGTACCATGCCAGGCCCTGTAAATGAGGATAATCTCCAGGCAGCAAAAGCTCAGCCTTCGTAAGTTCTGCCCCGGGCTGATGACATCCTGTGCACTGCCCTCCAGGGAATCTAGTCTAGTCGGGAACAGACAAGCAAATAGGTGTAGGAACATGTTGCAAATGCTATGACTGGTACAAGCCTAGATTTTTGCCAAAGAGGAAAATAGGAAGTGTCCTTTTAGGGCCTCATGTCAGTCACCCTGTTAAGTAGGAAGGGGGAGCGAGCTATGGAGGAGAGGATTAAGGATGGGAGTCGGATTGTTAGCATGGGGTGAGGGGGCAGGCTCTTCACAAATACTGACCTGCATGGGGATCATGGTGTGGGGGGGGAGCGTTTAAAGGCAGATTCTGCTTCAGGGAGACTGGGGGGGGTGCTGAAACCCCACATTTCTAACAATTTCCCAGATGCGGCCTGTGCTGCCAGCCAGGCTGGGTAGAAAGTGGTACAGGAGGTGGTGGGTGGGGAGGAGAGGTAGACGTGAAGTGGGCGCAGGGTGCAGGTGGGCATGGGCAGGGATGGTGCGAGAACGTGGGCAGCGAGACCGGGCCACTCACACAGACAGACGAAGGGTCTGTACCATCTCTCCCCACCCTGCACTTTGAGTTTCTGTGGCACAGACAAAATCTTCATCATCTCTCCTTCCTTCACGGTGTCTAGGAAATCCTGGAAGTCTGTCAGAGATTCAATCTCTCCGCAGAAATGGGAGTTAATACTAGCCTTCTCCCCCGGTAGGATAAGGCTGGAGTGAGAGCAAGGGGAGTGGCAATGGCCTTCTCTGTAGGTCAGGCTGGGGTGCACAAGGGGAGTGACACTGGCCTTCTCCCTCACTGTAGGACAGTGAGCTGGGGTGAGCGATGGGAGTAACTGGCCTTCTCCCTGTAGCACAGGCTGTGCTTAGCATTCACTGATAAAGACATTTTCCTCTTCCACCCCACAAAGCCTACAAGCCCCTATCTCAGCCCTGTCTTGGCACTCATGGGCAATACCAAGTCCTGGACACACACAGAACTTTCGTGTGGCCCACACCTGAGCCTGCCTCTGGCCTTCTAGCCCTCTGCTGCGATATGTAGATGTGCACAAAGGAGAAAGCTGTGGTCTGAAGGGGTGATATTCCACTCAGAAGGGCAGCCAGTCAAGGGGAGCTGAAACGTCCTGCGCCTTTAGGCCAGCTCCCTCCTACCTGCCCGCCTCCTCTCCAAGCCTGAGGACTAGCCCTCTCCTGTGTGGCTTCGAGGGGAGCTCTCCTTTCTAGGGGTAAAGACCGTGCTTTAAGATTGTTGCTCCTCCTTTTTGTAAATGTTAGATTTTCTTTCTTGTAATGAAATGACAGGAAGCACTTGTCTGTGCTGATTTATAATGACTTTGGCAAAATGAATTATAGCAGACCACGTTAGTGTCCAGTTCTGAGAGATTCCACTAATGGGTGTTGGGAACGACCTGTCTGGGCTTCTGCAGGGTCCAGCACTTCCCTCTTCCCTCCCTGCCCTGCCTCCCCAGGGACAATGACCTGCCTGCATTTCTTGGTCTGTTCTGCAAGTCCTTCCTTCTGAATCATTCAACACATCTTTGTCACAGAGATGGAGGGTCTCTCAGCTACATGTCACTTTGTTAACACTCAAAAGAAAACGGTGCAGGTTCTCAGGGTCCAGAGGTTCATAAACACTTCAAAGTTTCACTTGAAGTTCATTACATTTAATTTTTTTTCCAAAAAGTTTTGCATTGACAGATGTACAATACTTTGGTGTCAACCTGTGGCCCTCTTTCCCCTCAGTGGGCTCTGCCCTGCCCATCTGCCCAGAGGAAATCCCAGCTCTCACCCCACCACTCCCAGGCGCTTAGCTGGAAGGTGACACAGGTATGAAACTGAGAGACAGCCCTATCCCTCAGTCCTGCACCTGCAGACGGCATTAAGGGTGGAGGCCGCAGCCTGGGGGTGCTTTGAAACCATTAGAGCTTGTGTAGACAGAGTGGGCCTCTGTGACAAGGGAACAGGCCCAGTCTCCAGAATGTGAGGGGGATAGTGGCCTGGCTCTCTTCACAGGGAGGACTGACAGACTGAGGAGGGGCAATTAAAACACAACAATCAAACCAACCTTTAAATAGTAACTTTTAAAAATATAAAAACAGCTCATTACAATGACTTTTCATTTTCTTTTTTTCTTCAGGAATAACTTTCTTCTACCCCTCACCCTCCCTTCTGGCTAGAGCTTTAACAAGAGGTGGCGGGTGAACATCTGAGGCCCCGACAGACTCCAGACGCCCCATGCCCCCAGCCTCGGGAAGGCACAGGGTGTGGTGCCGGCCTCCACGTCAGGCCTCCGCACCGCATCAGGGACGCTGCTCAGGCCGGGGAGCAACATCATCCAAGACGGGCCATTTCCGCTGCAGCCCCTCCCTCCTCATCAGACAGAATCACACATTATAAAATAATCCATAAAAATGCGGTATAAAAATTAGCTTCCATATGCTACATCCATGGAGAGCCCACCACCAGGACTCACAGCGGCCTTTAGCTTTTCTTTAAAAGAAAAAAAAAAAGAAAGAATAAAAGAAAAAACAAAATCCTAATACCTCTCAGAATATTTTGGTACCAAAAAGTGGTACCTGCCAGATAGTATTCTACTGATAACCTGTTTGGGCCCCTAAGAGAATGAAAGTTGCAAGGAAATCTCCACAGTGTGCCAAGATCTGTGTCCCTCCCACCCCCACCCCAGGTGCCCCACTGCCCTGCACAGCATGGGGCGAGGGGAGCTAACCTTGTCACTCACCACCCTGTAGGGGTTAGTACATTTCCCCCCTTGAGGGGAAGAGGGAGGGGCTAGAGGCAGAAAATGGGGAAAAGGCATTTTATAAAAGGACGTCGCTTCTAATTCTTTTTATTCAAATTAAAAAAAAAAAAAAGCACCCACATCAGTTGCTATTTTTCTCTGGTAGCTCCCTGAGCTCAGTTGCTATGCTTTCCTCTAACTTTTTGTCCTTTTTAGGCTGTGTCCAAAGATTAAGGGCTGGAGAGGGAGTTTCGTTGAACTTCCATTTCTTGTCACAATAACCAAGTGTGCACCAAAGAGAAAGACTGAGGCTGAGGAGGAAAAAGACAGAACGAGCGACAGACAGACGCCTGAGAGAGGGGGAGACAGGGCAAGGGGCCAGCCGGAGCCCAGGAAACCACAGCAAGCTCCCGCAGTCTCTGTGCGCGGCGGCAGCCCAGGTTGGGCCAGCCTCAGCGCCGTCCATCGGTCTATCTGCCTGGCTGGCACTCGAGCCAGACCCACGCAGAGGCGCACTCAGCCTGGAGGGCACCCTGCATTCAGTCTGGTGGCCAGCTGAAGCTCCTTTTTTGCACCCTAAGGATTTTCTCCCCACTCTTCCTTTCTTCCCCTTTCTCTTCCTCCCCTTCCCAGATGGGACCATCTGTTTAAAAAAAAAAAAAAAAGCCACCACCACGAGTGGATTACAAATACAGCAGGCGAAATACACGGCGAGAGTTTCTGGTGGGAAGGGGCCTCCTCCCCCACTGATCAGTCCGAGATAGGAAGTCTGTTATTTACATTTTTCACAAATCTTGTGCACTGCACAATCAGGAAAAAGAGGTCTCCCCTCCCCTAGTACAACAATGTGGTCCACTCCAGCGTCCCTGACCCGAGGCAGAGGGGACGGGTCAGGAGAAAGGGGAGGAAAAGACAGAGATTCATGAGATGGGTGTCTGTGGGGACCCGGTGCCATAAGCCTCCAAATAAATCTATTTGTAGCACGTGCCAGCATTGTTAAGGGGGAGGAGGCGGAGAAAGATCCATCTGAGTCTGCAGACACACATCAATCCGCGCGCAGAGTCCAGACTGCGCAGGGGCACGCACCCTCTCAGCCTGCGGGAGCCAGAGCGCAGCCCGGGGAATGCTCGGCTGCTCGCCACCCCTCCTCTGCCGTCCTTGGGGGCCCTCGCCCAGGGGTCTCCCTGTCAGAGCCGTGTTGGTTTCTCCCAGAGTTTGACAGCCCTGTTGGAGTCCTTGTTTAGTAGATGACCTCATAAACTGTGGCCTTCTTGTCACCAGAGCCTGTTACAATATATTTGTCATCTGCTGAAATGTCACAACTCAAGACGGACGAGGATTCTTTAGACTGGAGGAGGCAGAAGCAGCAACAAGGTGGACGGGGTGCAGGGAGAAAGAAAGATAAAAGAATTCATTTTCTCAGCTCAACACCAGCTCCGTGCTCTCAGAATCCAATCCCCCTCCTCTGTCCCCTCTGCCGCCCAGCGTGAAGCACTGCAGGGCAGGGACATGGCCTAGGAGACTTTAAGCCTCGGTCTAGGGAAGCCGTTTCTGTATTCTCTTTCCACCTGCTTCTTGATAAGGAAAAGCTCATTAAGGGGCTCCAATGTGACCTTTAAACTAAGTAATAATGACCCAAACAGGACACTGTAGCAGGAGCTTTCTCTTTTGAGCTGGGAACAGGCCAGAAGCTCAGCCCACTGTGTGAGGAAAAGCATGGAACCTAATTTTTGAAGGAGTTAGGGTAACTAGAGAGACTCTGAAAGTGACATGTTGTACTGAAGTGACACACTGGACACCAGATGCTTCACTACGGTTCCAGCCCCTGGCCTATGGACTGAAGCAGTGCGCGGGAGTGTGAGTGGACATGAGGGAACAAGTGTGTATGTGAAGGAGCACCTGTGTGGAGAGACTGTGTGAGTGTGACAGGGAGTGTGTGTGTGCATGTGTGTGTCGTGTGTGCATACGAGAGTGCACATATGCTGGGCCCAGGATCCTGAAAAATTACCAACTGCCTCTTCCTTCTCTCTTCTCTTTCTGCACCCAGCCTACTTCCCACCAGGGAGAAACAATAACTTCTATGAACAGGTAACATGCTCTGAAAAGGCTGCTCGCCCAGCACCTTTCCGTGAAGGCACAGCATCCGAATCAGAGCAAAGAGCATATTTTTACTCCTCCTTACTCTCTAAATCCCAGAAGAGCCCCTGCTTCAAAGCCCTTGCCCTCTGGGGTTGGAAGCCATTAGCCGCAGAGTGGTGTGTCCCCACTGAGGTCCCCAAGTCCTGACCCCTGAAGAACGCATCCTGACCCTCATCAGGTAGGGGCAGAAAAGTGGCCAGGGCAGATTTGACCCTGGCTGCAGGTGCCTCCTGTTCTCCCTCTCACTGTCTTCACCCCAGTCACCACTACCAAGTCTTAACTCCAAGTGGAATGGGTCAGAGGACTCAGATAAGAGCTACCTGGAATATGCTGGCTCCATAAGGCGTCCTCCAGGCGTTGAGAAGGTTATCTTTCCCAGTGCTCACGAACCACTTGCCTGCAGTGGGGGAGGCAAACACATCCTCAGGTTGTAGCCTGCTGCCCTCTGAAGCAAGACCTGCCCCAGATGTGACCGGCTGCCATAGAAACACACTGAGAACTGCTAACTAGTGCTCAGTGCGGCTCTCCATGTCTGAGAGGCATTTTTGCAAACAAGACACATGGCCACCCCCCCATCTCCAGAATGCCTTTCTCTGCGATCTAAGGGGAGGGTTAGGAGGGGCAGGGTAAAGACAGATTTAAAGTTAACTGCAGTGATTATACTGCCCTCAAAAGATTCTTATAAAGCTATGAACACTGTCTGACCCTCCTAAATTCTACTACTGGAAGATGGCAGGAAGTATTGAAAATAGCAAAGTCTTGGGAGTCTAGAGACCCAGCCAAGATAGCAGTCAGTCGGCAGGCACCCATCCTCTGAGCAGGCACCCTGCCAAGTGCTGTATCTATCAACACGTTAATGCTACCCCAAAGCACGTGGCAGGCGCCATGCTAGTCTCAACCACAGAGAAAAATCTACTAGGGTTCAGAGAGGGTGAGATATGCTCAAGGGCACACAGCTTGTCAGCAGAGGGGCAGATATTCTAGCCCAGGGGCAAACAAATGTCAAAGCCTATGGTTGTCACCACTAGGAAGAATTGCTTAAACTGCTTATGTCCTGCTCCTTTGCCCCAGGACAAGAAGGACTAGCTCTGGCCCAGTGTCCTGAGAGCTCAGTACTCAATGATGACATCTGTATCCAAGAGATAAGATGCCCAAAAGGTATTGAAAGAGCCTGGGTCCGGGGGTAGGAGGCCTGATGGTTGTGCTTTGTCCATGGGATTTGGGCTCCTCATCTGTACACCAAAGGTAGGGGGCTGACCCTGTTGGGCCTGGCTGCCCTGGCTCCCCACCTCCCTCTATCAGGCCTGGGCCCACCCAGGCTCACCACAGTAGGCAAACTTGAGGGACAGCACGCAGCTCTCGTGCAGATGCAGCTGGTATTTATCAGGCTTGGTGTGGTGCAGCACCTCCACGTTGCTGCTCTCCATGCCCACGGCCAGCCACTCTCCAGTGGGGCAGTAACCCAGGGAGAAGATCTGTGGGGTGGGGGGTCAGACACTTAGCATTTCCTGCCCTCAAGGGTAGGGGAGCTCCGCAAGGGGCAGCTCAGAAGCTCTCCCCAGCCCACCCCTACCATCTGTAACACATGACCCCACCACGACCTGCCCACTACCCCAGGGGTAAGGGGTGCCCTTCTCCACGCCCATCTTATAGGTGAGCACACTGAGGCTGAGGCTCTAAGAGGCTTCTGACTCCAGAAAGTAAACAGCACAGCCAGGACTCAAACCCAGAGGGAGCAGATTCTACTTCCAAAGTTGCCCTTTTTGTCTAGGTGATTTCTACCTTTCCTTAAAAGTCAGTAAATAACACACTACAATATTAAATATTTAAGATTAAAATATTAAAGTAATAAAAATAACAAGGAACAGTGAGACTTAGCATTTACTGAACGCTTTCTACGAGTCAGGTTTATGGCTAAGGCTTTGACAGCAATCACTTCAGGTGCTCACATCAGACCCTAGGGGTGAGCTACCATCACTTCCATCCCGCAAATGAGGACACCAAGAACCAAGAGCTCAACAGTAGTAGAGAAAAGCCTCGAATCCCCACAGTTGGGTCAAGTATGTCTAACTCAAGGCCTAGTCCACTCTATCTCACTGCTGTTCCCTCCAGGCAGCCTTCCCAGATGGCTAAGGTTGGTCCCTTGGCAACGAGCACCCTTTGAGGGCCCTTTTGTCCCCCAACTGAGTCCCAGAGGGCAGGGAGGAGAGTCTCAGGCCACACACCTGGGAAGTGAAGTCGTGCTGCTGCAGCTGCCGGCCCTCACGCAGGTCCCAGGAGCGCACGGTGTTGTCCAGGCCCCCAGTCCACAGCTTGGTGCCATCATGGGAGATGTCTATACAGCTGGCCCCATCCGTGTGGCCCTGGAACTGCCTACGGAGTGCAAGCAGAGAGGAGGGTAAGCCCCAGGGAACCCCTGACGGCCAGGCTGGCAGCTGTCCCAACTAGACTGAACAGAAGAAGAAACTGAGGCCCAGAAAGGGGTTGTGCTATGTCCCTTGGTAAGTCTAAAGCATAGCTAGGCCTGGCCCCTCTCCTGTTCCACCCCAGGGCTGTGCCCAGGGACAGGCCCTCAGGGAAATGAGGGTAAAAAGGGGACCTCACACTAGTCTCCTAAGACGGAGTTCCCCAGGACAGGCCTTCAGCAAGCCCACGTTGCTGTGGAGGGGGGTGGAATTGGAGGCTCACAAAGGTGAGGCAGGTAGGAGGCCCTGGGGAAGTTTCTAGGAAGGTGACTGATAACGAGAAAGCAGCCCACTGCCTTCAGGACACAGCTCTTTAGCCTGCACCCATAAGTCCTCAATTTGCCCTCTTAATCTACCCTTCTCACCCTGGGTGAACCACAGGGCTGAAGCCACAGACTTGCCCACAGACAATGCAAATAACAGATGGCAAACAAGGCCAGCTGCTCCTGCCTGCCTTCACACTGAGGGGTAGCTCAGAGAAGATGGGACACTGTTCCTGGGTGACATAGGGAGAGGCAGAGACACAAGGGGTTAAGTGACTTGCACACAAAGTGGAGACAAGATTCAAACCCAGCAGCTTGAGTTCCGAGACCCCATAGTTCATCACCAGGTGATACTGCTCCCCTATACCTCTCCAGGCTTTGAATCCCATCCTCTCTCCCTTGTTCTGCTAATTTCAACTCCACCTCCTCTCCATGGCCCTCTCCAAGGCTCCTCTGTCCCACATAGGCAGGGTGTGCTGTCTCTTCACCTGGGGAGCCCTACAGTGCCTCACACAGGGCCAAACTCACAGCAAACAAGGCTGGGCTGGAGGGGAACAAACTTCCCTAGGACGAGGCACTGATAACATTCCCTCCTGCCGCCCTTACCTGACCAGGGTCTGGTTGTGCAGGTCCCAGACGGCGATGTTCCCATCACTGCAGCAGGAGAAGCAGACTTTGGCATCAGGACTGATGGCCAGGGCGTAACAGGCGGGAGCTGAGGACGTCAGCTCAGCCTTGATGCGGGGTGTGGGTGAGGCCAGGTCCCAGATGGTGAGTGTGCTGGCCTCGCCACCCACGATGAGCGTGCGCCCATCAGGGAGCAGCTTGCAGGAGCGGATGTAGTTGTCCCTGTTCTGGAGAGAGAAGGGGCAGGCTGAGTGCTGCCCACTCTCACCACCCCAGCACACAGCCGCCCCTCACATCTGGCAGCTGCCAGACTGCCCCTACTCCTCAAGTTCATAATCCTTCAATAATTCATGCATTTCTTCACAATCCCCTGCAGGTCAGTGCCATCCCTACTTAGAGATGGCATAACTGGGGCCCAGAGAGGTTAGACAGCTTGTCCAAAGTTGCTCAGCCAATGTGGGGCTGAACTCTAGGCCTCTCCCCTCTGCCCGCTGGAGAATAGGCCGCAGCCTGGGGTTCTCACCAGGCAGTCCAGCTGGGAGATGGGGCTCTTGCTACCCGGCTGGCTAATGTCCCAGATCTTCACACAGCCCTTGCCCCCTGTATAGACATGCCGCGTGGGGTTGCTGATGGTCACGGCACACACCACCTCCCCGTGGCTGAGCGTGTTGATCTGCCGGGCGTGTCTTGGGATGCCGGGGCCTGCCAGGGCATCGTGGGGGAAGGGCACGGGCTGCATCTGCCCATCAGCACTCACGTGGAAAGAGTACGCTCTGAAAAGGTGAGAACTGTCACTTCTGCCATCCACCCTCAGAGTTCCCACAGCTCCTGCACAGGTCACCCATACTGCCCTGGCCTGGCTACTGTGTGTCCAGGCTCCTGCCTCATGAAGCCTAGTATTCTCACTTACTGTGATGGCTCCCCTATGCTGGGGACTGCTTCCCATTCCAAACTTGATTTTTTTCTCCCATTCATACATCCTGGCATGCCCTCTCTTCCCCTCTACCCTGGAAAGGACCCTGCTGAAATGTTACTTCCTGCTTTAGGAGCCAGGGGTATTAAGGAGGGAAATCTGTGTGTCCCTCCCAAGAGAAGCCTGGCCCCAGTGGAGAGCACGCTTGGCCCGGCTCCTGCCTCAGGCTGCTCTGGGTGGTCTCTCAATTAACAGCGAGACCTTCCCTGATGATGTGAGCACTGTGTTAGGCAGCGTCCCAGCACTGCACGTATGCTCAACCTTCCAATTTCCCAACAACCCTGCCTTTGCCCTCCAGCGACAGAGCACTGGATGCAGGGAAGGGCCTGTGCCCAGCAGCCAAGGGGCCTTGCCTGTAGCCAGAAGCAAAGACATCCCAAACACCCCTGGAAGCTCCGTGTGATGTGGCTTGGAGTGCCCCTTCTCTCCCAGGGCCCAATGACTATGTACTCAGCAACTCCCACCTCTTTTAAGAGGGTACCTCTAAGGCAGGTCAGGAGTGAGACATGACAGCAGTTTCCTGCGGTGCAGCCTGGCCTAAGTCCCTCTAGAGGGACAGATACTTTATCCAGCAGACATATGCACCAGGGCAAACTCAGGGTTAGAAGACAAGGGTGGTGCCCTCCCCTACCCGTTTCCCAAAGAATACAACAAGTATAGCCAAAGCTTACGGTTTCCCTCCAGGAATGGAGGCCAGGCTTGAGGGAAGGCCCGTGGCCCGCATTGGGGGGTGAGGGTCAAAACCAACCTGTAAGGCAAACAAGGGAGCCCTTAGTCAGTGTCACCACCACTCCACCTCCTCCACCCCACCCACTGGGCACTGACCACTGACCACACGGCTCACCCTCTGGGGAAGCCAGGAGACAAGCACAGTAGAAAGGGGTCATAGCTCAGACCCCGTGCTCTGACCCAGCACCCTGGCCCTCTTCTCTCCTCTCCTATCCTTAGCAGGCCTCACATGGACAGGAGACCACCCAGGAACGAGAGGCAAAGACAGAAACTATCTCCTGAAGAGGAAACTTTCTGCCAACCCCCAAACTAAGTGTTCATTCATAGTAACAAGATACGTCTTGCTATAGCCAGTCCCATTTACCAAATCCCTGCTCTGTGGACATTTGTTACTTGACTCACTTTGGGATTCCCGCAACCCCAGGCCCAGAAAACTATCTGTCAGCTTCTTTTCCCAGATAGGAAAGGGGTAGTCCAGGGAGGCCACCTTGTATGAGGTCCCAAGATGACTAATAAGCTGTTGGGGTAGGACCAGGACTGGTGACCCCAAAGTCCATGCCCTCTGGTCTAAGTCTCAATGTTTCAGATAATTTTTCTCTGTGTGCAGATAGCTGCCTGGCTTTGAGACCAGAGAGCCCCTCAACCCCCACCTGTTCCCTACACTGTGCCCAGTCCCCAAGAAAGGAGCCAAAAGGTCTACGTACAGCTCCAAAGCTCACCATTGGTGATCGGCCATAGGCAGCAGCGGCGGCAGCAGCAGCAGCACTCATCTGGGGTGGGATGTTGTGGAGACCTGCATAAGCGCTAGGGCTGGTGAGGGAGCCGTTCATCTCGTGGTGGCCCATCATTGCAAAGGGTGTCGCGTAGGAGCTGGTGATGGAGATGGGCGTGCGCAGGGCAGAGGCTGTGGGAAGGCAGGTGTCAGCAATGGATGAGCCTCAAGAGACCGGACCCTCCCCACACTGACAGGACAAGGCCATGGCCCCTCTACCCAGCAGCAATCCTTCCTGCGTTCTATAGCTGCCCACTCCAGGCAGTCCTCTCAGATTGAAAGGATCCCTGCCTTCAGGCCCCTCTCAGAGCTGAGAGATGTACCCACCTCTTTTTGCAGAGCAAGCACAGAGGCCCAGGGAAGGGGCTCGTGCAGGCCTGGAAGAACTAAGAACAGAGCGGGAACAGATCTGGGGTATCCTGCCTGACCTATCTGGTGCTCCTTCCATATGCCTGGCCTAGTAGTGGCCCCAGTAAACCCTGAAGTCTGTGTTGAAGTCTCAGCATCCATCTTCTCCTCAAACTTGACTGTGAAGCCCGCAAAGGCCCTAGGAAAGCCCCAGCATGGACACGCTCCCTGTACTCTGGCCCCAGCTATGGCCTGGGGCAGACTCCCTCCCCACCCCCCACAACACCCCAGCCCCTGGTGCCTACCCATTATACCTATCGGGTCCATGCCTGGAGGCTTGCCTGGCATGGACCGGAGCCCTGGGGTCGTGCTGGTGCCTGGAGTTGGGGCATCGTTCCTCGGAGTTGGTGTATTGGACTTGAGCCCCGGGGTGGAAGATTTGTCATTCTAAAGAGGGAAGATGCAGAGACCAAGGGAAGCCATGAGGACTCCTCTCTCCTAGCTGGGCACAATACCTCATATACTAAAGCAGCAAAGAGCCCAGTGCCAATACCAGTTATGAACCTTCTGCGGAACAGCCTCTCCGTCCTTGCTCAACCACACTGGGCAGGGACTGTGGTGTCACTACTATTTTACAGAGGCAGAAACGAAGCTCAGAAATGTTGACTAACTTGTACAAGGCCCAGCTGGCAGGCAGTAAAGTCAGAGTCTTTTAGGTCTTCACCTCTGTCCTCTAATCAGCACCTCTCCAGCTCTGGCCCCTGATCACCTGCCTCCCCATTCCCAGCCCAGCCTCACAGACACACTTACGTGACCAAGGTCTTTGGTCTTGGAGGAGGGTGTGCTGCTGGAAGAGGCTACCGAGGCGGGACTGGTAGGCGCATCCTTTTTCAGGCCGCGGCCCTTATCTAGCCCGTTCTCAGGAGGGGAGTGTGCGGGGCTGACTCGGGGTGTTGCTGGGTCCTAAGAATACAAGTGACCGAGATGTGCTGCCAGCTGCAGCCAGACTGGCATCTTCCCTGCTCTGGGCGTAGGAAGGGAGGGGGCATGGTGATGGGGAGAAGAGCATGGCTGAAAGACTGGGGGTTCCCAACAGGGGCACCAGCTCTTAACCATCTAGTCTGACCCTTCATCCCACAGATGGGGAAGGAAGAATAGTGACCTGCCCCAGAACGAACTCAAGTTCACGACTCCATCAGTGCTGCTGGGCTTGCCCTGGTGTGGACTCCTTCCAGCTCCTCCTACCCTGCTGGGGCTGACCCTGGGGCTGCAACTCTCACCTCAACAAGGTGAGGGAGGTGGAGGGAGGGGTGGGCATAGCTGACCTGGAGGAGCGCAGGAAACAGAACTGGCCTCTATCTGGGATCTTTGGGGATCTTTCTCTGGGACCCACTGCAGGAAGCCCTCAGTGCCCATAAAGGCCAAGCCCCCAGGCAGCAAGGCCCTTCCTGACCTAACACCCCAAGACCTTGTTACCCTGCTCAGGCTGCCAATAGTACCAGAACAGAGGACAGATCTCCCCTCCACCCCAGAATGACCTGTCTCAAACCATCCCAAACAGAGAGCCTCCCTGCAACCCAGGCCTGCTCGTACCTCATTGGAGACATCCACCACCAGATCGTCACTCTTGTCCCCATCACTATCCTGCAACCAACAGAGAGAAGCCAACTGGCCAGTAAGAGGTCATGCTCTTTCCATCCCTCCTCCTGCCAGCCTGGCCCTGAGCCAAACCCAAAAGTCCAGCCTTTCCTCCTCTGCTTTTCCCTTCGACGAACTCAGCTCCTCAGAGGTCCGGTTTCCCAGCCCAGCCTCCCCAGCTCTGCGGTAACTCCACTGCCTGCCACCGGGCAGCCTCACTGACACCTGTCCCCTCTCCCTAAGGGCTGCCTCATAACATGTCTCTCTGAAGCTAGAACCATCTTTCCCACTGGGTTTATATTCTCTGTGACTCGTAAGTCAGTGCAGAGTGCTACTCTCACCTCATCATCCACCCCACTGCAGGACAGGTGAGTCTCACAGACATGCAGGGAACATCAAGTATGCCGTGTGCGCATGGCCACGGAGCAGCCTGGTAACTGAAGAGGGCTGGGGGCTGAGTCCCAGCACCTGTTTCCCCTTCCCTTTGCCCTAGTTCTTGGCCCTGTGCAGCCTGGTACAGGGCAGATATGACAGCCATGCTTTCCCTGGGGTCTCCTGTATCAGAGGCATCACATGGTAAGGCTATTAAAACTCAAGGTAGCATGACTGAGTAGATGCACACCTCGGCCTGGCTGTGAAGACTGCAGGGTCAAAGCATGAGACACCAGGCAGAAGGGGATTCTGGGGAGCACTGCAACAGCAGCACGGTCATCCCATCGGTGGGAGAGGTACAGAGCTCTCCCCACTCCCACCCACTCCTGCCTCATAGTGGCTCACATGCTCAGAGTGCATCTAAACCACCCAGCCATACTTGCATCCCTCCTCGGCAGGCAGCCTCTCTGATTCACTCCTGGACCCCAAGAGGGCTGGGGCCACAGAGCTTGGGCCTTATAGACACTCCCATCCTACCCAGCACAAGCCCTAGCTGACCCGCCGCGCCTCAAACGTACATATCGGCTCAGACTGTCCTTCTCCTCTGCTTTCCGCTTCTTGGCTTCCATGCTGTAGTCTGCGGAGCCCCGGTGCTTCTCACTGGCCCGGAGGCTTTCCGAGGGTGACACAGAGTTATTCTAGAAACCAGAAGAGGATAAGGGGTAAAAACCTTTTGCTTGCTAAGTGCAACATCTCAAACATCCATGGCACAGCTAAGCACAGTTGACCACCCAGGAGTCCAGAGGAAGAGCAGCTCAACTCTGAGGTGTCTTGTAGACCTCAGCTCAAGCATTGCCTCACCAAGGAAAACTCCCCAACTCCCCACACTGGGGACCCAGGGAGACAGGCTGGGAGCATCCCCACTACTCTTTTATAACAATACCATTGCTATTAAGTAATTAATTTTGCAGTGAGTCATCTGCCTGCTGGCCTGTGAGACTATGCTCCATGAGGGCGAGGGTCAGCAATGTTCTACTTCACCACCCACCTCATGACCTCGGCACTTAATCTGCTCAAAGGAGGGATAAGTGGAATTTCCACTGAGCCTTGTAAGATGGATCTGAGCAGACAGACTGGGGCCATGATCAACATTTCGTCTGCCGAGCCAACAGGAATGGGGAGACTGAGAGGGGAGAGAGCGTCGGGCTGCCTGCAGGTTGCCGGGCAGATGAGCAACCCAGCACCACCCCGCTCTTCCTCCATGGGAGACCTTCAGAGACTTTGGAGAAACACCAGGGTTTTTAAAGAAAACAACAGTCAGGAAGCCCTTCCCTCTGAATGACAAGAGAAGGTATAAGGGCAGAAGGGATCACCTCCTCCTTTGAAGCAGGCAGAAAGGAGGCCTCCGAGAAGTTGGGGGACGTGCCCCAGTACCCCCAGCGGGACATAGCATGAAGGAAACCCAAGTTTTTCAGGTCAGGGAGAATTGAATTTCTCTCTGAACTATAAAGCAAGTGAGGACAAGACTCCTTTGGGCTTGGAGACCTGGGAAGGGGGAAAGTGAGAGGCACTTGCAGGCGGGCCTGGGGGTGCAGCAGGCCTGGGAATTGAGATAGTGGTCAGGAGCCACCTGCATCGTGCAGCTGTTAAAGGAACAGGACAGAGGAGCTGCTGGCAAGGGCATCTGCAACAAACCTTTGTCTCAAAGGACCAACACCCCTCTATGATGTGGGGAGAGTTGCTTCTCCCTGTGAGCCCCTCTTTACCTTCCCTTCCTCACCCACCATTTTCTGAGCAGCTGTCCTGGGTCAGGCTAGAGGTGGCAGAACGAACAGGTCACAGTCTTGAACGAAAAGGTCTGCCAGTCCCTATCCTGGTCCCTAGGCAGCACAGGGGTGCCCAAGGAAGTCACATGGAGACACGGAGGGACGCCCCTTCAGAAAAGAACAGTCTTGCAAGGCAAGTGGGCTGAGCCTTCACTATTTGTCTCCCCATGTCACTGGAGGCCAAGGCCAGCTCAGGGGAAAGGGTCACTTGGAGGGAACAGGGAAGGGCGGTGTTTGTGGGGAACAGCACGGGAACCAGCCACAGAACTTAATTTCCTTTCCTAAGCCGGTTTCTGGGCAGACCTTCCCTGCCAAGTTTCTGCCTGAAGCAAATTAAAATGGCAGAGTTATCAAGCCTTGAAGAAAAAATGGAGGTTATAACGGGGACTGCAGCTCAACCTTCCCCACAGCCACGCAGGGGCGGCGGCGATGCGCGCACAGCCGCAATTCAATTAGCTGCTACAATCGCCGGCAGAAAAATCACCGTCATTTCATTTCATTTCCTCCGATGGTGGCGGCCACCCTGTGCTAAGCAGAAACGCTCCCAGCCCCTCGCTGGCTGCCCCGGCGGGCGGGCGGGGAGAGGAGGGGGCGTGCGGCTGCTCATGTTTCTCCTGGCGACCCAGTGGTGCGCGCCCCAGAGAACAGCGAGCTCTTTCTTCTCATGCAGTCAGGCTGAAAACCCTCGCCGCTACCGGAGAGTCATGTCAGGCATTTAGCGGCATCGATCCAGCCCGCCTCTGGCTGGCAGGCGGCCAAAAAACTAAGTATTTTTTATTGCTTCGGCTAGGCAAGGAAATATGAATGAAGCTACCTCTAATTGGACTCCAGACTAACCCCTCTGGGACAGCTTCCAGCCCGTCCCTCATACCCCTCCCACTCCGACACAGCCCTGTCCTTCCTGCCGTAGGCCTCATCTGTTGACAACCTGGTTTCCAAAGCCTGATTACTTCAGTCTACACCCCACCCCACGCCCCGTCACCACATGTGCACAGCCTAAAGTGTCCGGGCCTGAGCAGCCCAGCCCACCGTCCCTCCCACTGCTGCCTCTCCATTACTTCCCACTGGATTCTCCAGTGGCCCCTGTGTGTCCTCTGCTCTGTAAGTCTGCCATGCACAGATGTCAGCAAGCATGGTGAGTAAAAAGTTCAGCTCTTAGGGGTCCCCCACGGGGTTCTTTGAGCAGAAAGTTTTCCTGCATGGGGCACAGAGGAAAGAGGAAGAGGATGATATGAAGGATCCACTTCATTGCAGTGGGTCCCTGTGAACTGGGTCATCTAGATCCCGAGTCTTGTCCTAAGAGGGTCTTCCCAACAAAGTGGAGAGCTCGGCCTGGGAGGAATCATCCCCATGGTACAGATAAAAAAGAAAAAGAAAAAAACTCTGAAGCTCAGAGGGGCCAAGAGAGCTATCCAGTCTCATAAAGCCGAGACCAGAGCTAAGCCTTGAGGTGTCCGATCCAGCCATCCTTCTATCTAGGCAAACTGCCTCTCCAAACACACCACTGTTAGAGGATCAACACTAAAGCATTCAAAATGGATTTTCAGCTTCAATTATTCCCCTTCAGTACCTAGCCACTCTCCTCAGCCTAAATGTGGCCTGGCTTTCTGAGCACGCAGGCAGGGTGAGTGGAGAAGCCAGCATTACTGCTAACGGGAGGTTTAAAAAGTCAGCCAGGGAGGGGGAGTTTGGGGAGGGGAGGCGGGTAGGATTGGAGGGACCTGCCCAAGGAAGCTTCTGTCTAGATGGTTAGTTAACTGCCTGACCTTCCAAGTCCTACTTAACACGAGGTAATAACCAAAGCCATCCTAACAGATTAGATGGCCCCAGATACAAGGACGGCGATGAGGAATAAAATAGCTTTGCTAATCGCTAAAGGATTTTTTTTATCCAGACTCCACTGCGCTTATTCAGAAGGCTTATTCACTTGAAACAGAACCTCGGAGCCTCAGTGTGATCAGAAAGATTTACAACAAATCTCAGAGCTGGCAGACACGCAGGCGGCCTGGCCTTAATGCTTGCCTGCTAGCACTTTCTTAAACCAAGTGAAAGCCCAGAGCAGGGAGAAACCTCAGGCATTTGAAGGAAGTAAGGACACAGCGTCATGTAGGAGGCATCCAACCTGGGAGGTGGATAAGACCTCTGGCCCAGGATGTGGGACACCAGGGTCCTATGCCTTGGGTCCAGCCCAACGACTCCACAAAGCCTCTGGCAGGGAAGACCCAGTGCTAGTCAGCTGACCTCTCCAGTTAATCATCTTTCATATGAAAGGGAGTGAGAGCCCAAGCCCTTCATTTGACAAATGATGGACCTAATGCCTGGAGAGATGAAAGGCTTCCACAATGGAAGGTCACTATCAACAGGTGCCAGCAGTCCTATTTTATAACAGTAACTACCTTCCCCCCACACCTCACCACCAGTATCTCTGGACTAAGACATAGTCATCAACACATCAGCAATGAAGCCAGGTCTCCCAGCTCTGGCACAAGTAAACAAACAACCCTCAACTCCAACCCAGAGCAAAACAGACAACCCAGATGATGGCTTTGGATACCACGGACGGGTCTTAGGTCTGCAATTGTAGGGGCGAGCCTCCAAACCAGAAGCCCTGAGTCCCCTCCTCCTCCCAGCACCCCAAAACCCCTGTGGCTTCCATAGTGCTCAACACTTACCGCACTGGATTCTCTCTCTTTGAGGAGGGAAGGCCAGGGCAGGAGGAAGGTCAGGATCCATAAGAGAAAAGACAAAAAGAAAAGGGAAAAAGGTCAGTTCCAGCTAGCTTTTGTGATTTGCTAGTTCACTGGTTTAAAAATTAGCAGAAGGCCTGGCTCTCTGTCTTTGTGGGTCAGACAAGGAAGGGTCATTAGGGGGCCTTTCTCAGTTTGGAAATTAGCCACCCCAACTCCAATCCTTCCCCCATACCACCAGTCCCCAGGGTGGGCTAGGGGAGGCCTCTGGCCTACTTCTCCCTGACACTCCAGAAGGGTACCAGCTTCACTCTCTAGTGGTTAGAGTTTTTAAGGCTACAGGCTTGAAAAAGATTATGCCATGTAAAATATCCATAGGATCTGAGAGTTGAGCACATTATTGTTTAAAAAAAAAAAAGAAAGAAGGGAATTTGGGAGTGGTTTTTAAAATAAGCCCTTGGAAGCTGGAGCCTCTGTCCTACTACAGGGACAAAAATCTTAGCCTCTGGTTCCCAGGACCTGCACCAAGGAAGGATGGTGACACTTCAGGTCCCCAATGCTCAGAGACTTGGAAGGCATTGGCCATGTGCTCCAATAAATATCCAAGGTCAGAGCACATGAGGTGGCAACTTTTCAAAAGGATCTGCCAGGCCCTTCCTCTCCTGATCCCACCAGTCCCTCCTAACCCCTCCTTAGTACAGCTTCCTAAGTCCACCTGGTAAGGGCCAGGGTGAAGAGTTAGAGAAAAAGTTCTGACCCCAAGTCTTTCCAATCATCTCCCTACTTACAGGCAGTGTGAGTGTGCTCACTAGCCCCACTTACAGGCAGTCAACTAATACATCTTGACTAGAGCACCAACTGTATACCTTATCCAAGGCACTGATGAGACCTGACACTAAGGAGAAACCCAGGAATTTGGCCTCTGTCCTCAGAGGACCAATGCATCTGGCAAAGACTAGACATTTTCCAGGAGTGGGACATAAAGAGATAGCAACAAGGGCTCAGTCTTACACTCCAGCTCTTAAACTCTTAGAGGAATTTGAAAAAGGTCCCCGGTCCAACCAGAAAGGCATCCTGAAGATGTAGACTGGGGCTAGCCCTTAAAGGACAGGCAGGGTGCTTCAGATGAAGGGACAGGTGTCTTCAGGGCAGAGAGTACCAGGTGCAAACCAGGGATTGGGAAAAGGAGCCTGGGGACAGTGCCAATCAACATCAGCCAGGGATCCAACAGCTGGCTCCAAGTCTTTTGTTAACTCCCTGTCTTTGAGCAACAGTATTTGCTGTGTCCACTCACTGTGGGGCCTGCGGTCACCCACCCCTTGCTCAGCCCAGCCCCATCTGCCCCAACCCCTGTTCAAGTCGCACCTCTGTGGTCAAGTTCATGGTGGTTCTTCTCGTCCTTTACTGTCAGGTGGGCCTGGCTACCCAGCGCACCCAGCGCCAGTAGCCCAGAGCTGCTCCCTGTCACTGGGGGGATTCCTGGAGGCTGGAGGCCTGACGGGTGGGGTGGCAGCTGGACCGGGGGGCCATGTGTGGCATGGGAGAGATGCTGCGCCTGGAGCTGCTGCTGCTGCAATGAAGTTGGTGGTGAGCGTGCAGAGCACGGGGCAGGGGAGGCGCGGCCACCCAGAGGGAGCAGCGATTCCCAGCCCCCTCGCTCCTGCATTTGGCTCCATGGGCAGCAAGGGGGAGACAGCCACAAAACCTTTGCCCCAGCTCAGTCCACATGCTCATCTTGCTGAAAGAAGTCTGGTAATGAACTACAGTTTAGATATAGGATTTATGAGAGCAAGTGCCCACCCACCCACCCTCCAGGCCCCAGTTTCGGGACAGAATTTCTCAGTGTTTGTTTCCAAGCCCAATATAAATAATGCATGCATTGAAACACCACAGTCATTGGGTTCCCTCTCAGTGGAGGGATCCGTGTTTAAGCTTGCAGCAGCTGCGTGTCTGCTCATGCGTACATGCCTTCCACATTAGCTGCCAGCATCTCCCTCCCCGAGGCCATACCCTGGGGAAGACTCCCTAATTTGAGGGATTCTAAGCCTGCCTCACAGAGCTAGGGCAGGGCAGGCCAGTGCAGAAAAGTCTCCAGAGCAAGATGAGCTGGGGCCCAGAGAGCTAACATCACCGGAAGACATCAGAATAGAAAACAAGGCAACAGGAAGAGTGAAAGGAAGCTTTGGGGCCAAGCAGACCCGACAACGCCACCCCCAGCCCCTCTGGCACTTCCTAACATGCATGGGGCAGATGACCTCAACTCCCTGAGCCTCAGATTTCCTTATCTGTAAAGGGGAAAGTAGCGCCAGCCCCCAGGAATTACTGTAGATGATGCATGTGGCAGCTTGGGGCACAGAGCTACTACTCATGCAGCATCAGAACAGCAGCTGACAGGTGCTGGAAGTTTACAGTGGACTCCTGAGCTGTTCTAAAAACTCGACAGGCATCCACTCAGTACTATCCTCAATGGCAACAGTACCAACCCTCCATCTCCTCCCTATCCCCAATCAAGGACTCTGCTCCCCTGGCTCCAGAGCCCTCAGACACCCCAATCCGACACTAGCCTCAGGGGTTCTCCTTCCCCTTCTTCCACGTGGCTAGCTTGCACCACCTTAGTGCCCTCCCAGCAGCCGTGACACAGTGTACCTTATCACTCCTAAGACTGTGCCAAGAACCATGGGCGCTATGGGCCAGCTACTCAGTGCCAAGTATTTCTTAGAGATCAAAATACTTCTTATGAGTGGTTGGGCCTTGAGTATGCTGGTATCTACCTGTGCACACATTTCTTCTCAACTAGTTCAAGAGAAGGCAATCAACACTTACAGAGTACTGGGGCACTTAGCAAATATTATTTCTAAACCTCCCAACCACCTGGCAAGGGAGGTTATGTCCATTTCATAGATGACAAACTGATGCACAAGGAGCTGGAGTGGGCGGCCAGTAACCGGCCAAGTGCCACCACTAGTAAGTGGGATTTGGACTCAAATCTGTCAACCACCAATCTCATCCAAAGAATGTTCTGAAGAAGATCCTCCCCAAAGCAAAAGGAGTCAACACCTAAATAAGGGAGCTCGCCTGTCGATGTGAAACACTCTTTGGGAATTGCTAACAGATACCAGTACACAAAAGAGGTGTACAGTCCTGGCTGGAGGAGGCAGTAAGTGTTTGAAGTCATAGGTAAAAGGCACTCCCCCACCACTAAGTTGCAAACTGCCAACCTGGCCCCATTTTTCAAAGTCAAAGGCAGCCACAGTAGCCACTATACTCCTGGCCCCAAAGGGCTCCTTTCTTAGCTCTGGGTGAAAGGCTGGTACCACAACCATTGCTCAGACCAACTGAGTGCCTCTGGGATGGCTGCTGCTGGCCATTATGGACGCTGGACCCCATTTCTGCCTGAGGACTCCCAGTAGACTCCCAGCTAAGGAGTGGCATCAGCCAAGTTCAATGCAAAGATTCAGCCCCTCCCCATTCAGAAGAAACTCAGGCTCCTTTAGGACAGGAACTTATCCACCTTTCTTTTTAAAGAAAAAGTAATTTTTTATATCTTATTACAAAACTAATACATGCTCATTGTAAGAAAATAAAAATAATACTAAAAATAAACATAGGTGAAAGTGTTTTTTAATCTTCAATGAAAAATTGAATTCAATCCCACCCTCAAAAGGGTCTACTCCTCATCTGCCTAGATTTTCTCCTATGGAAATCTATACATTTAAATGTATTTCTATACAAATGGGCTCTTGTGAACTATACTGTTAGACAACTTAATTTTAATTGAAGAGTGTTCTGAAGAAATCCATTTGTCCTCCTCAATGGCAACCCCTGGTGTGGGTGGACCACACAACTTTATCTGGACGCTCAGTTTTAAAAGGGAATCTCTAGTGGGGCCTCTTTGGTTTTACACCCATTGCTGGTAGGCCCTTTAATCTTGCTGGTGAAAACAGTTCAGTAAAATCCCAGAAAGCAAAGACTGCGGTATTTAATCCACTTTTTATAGAACACAGCCAGTAAGATCCTGTGAGGAAGAGATAAGAAAGAGGAGGGGGAGGAGGGCTTCGAAGAAGTTACTGCTGTCTGCGGACAAGGCTAGCTCCCTCCAGTCTTTTTCTAGAGATAATGTCTCGAAAGGCATGGCTGAATAGTTCCAAACAGACTGCCTCTCACCTTGCCAGGTATGATCACCTCTCCTAGCCAACCTGCCAGGCTCGGCTCTGCCTGGTCCGAACACCACCTACCCTGGATGCCTCCTCCCTCCTGAGAGCACTCACAGCTCCAGAGCCCAGAAGTCTGAAGTGGACTTCCAGCTCTATCCTTTATCAGTGTTTGTCCTCAGACAAGTCAGCTGCCCTCTGGGTCTCAGTGTCCTCATCTGCAAAGACGAGGATCAGAGTGGAGCCCATGTCCTCGGGTGGGCAGCGAGCATGGGCATCACTACATGTGGACACAAAGCAGGTGCGTGATCAACACTGGCAAATGCGAAGAACACGCCACAGATGTAACCGCCATCACCTTCCTCTTTACACGATGCTTGGCAACTTGTGAGTTCTAGGAATTCAGGGACTTTATCTAACCCATCCTGGCTCCTCTAACAGTGCCTAGCATGTTTCCTCGGTAGTCATTCCTGGGTGAATTCAATGAAAATGCTGGAAAAGGTATACATGCAGAGGTTAGCAAGTAAGTCAGCAAAGTGCTGTCTGAAAGCAATCGACTGCCTCCCAGACCTGCGCCTCCTCGCCAAGGCCCAACTAGATGCAGCTATGAGTTAGTCAGGACAAGAAGCATCAGTGTGGTAGTAGGTGTTCTGCTTCCCCCACATGAGAGCCAGTGAGCCGGCATCCGGACCTTGGAATAAAGGCAGCTACAGCTGTTTGGAGACAGTGGCTTTCAAAAAGACGTTGAGCTTCCCTGAAAGAGTGGATAGTTTTCTGCCTTAGTGTGTCATGTAGAAGCATCCTCTCAGCAAAAGAGGAAAGGAATCTCCCGTACAAAACTGAAGATTTTCTCATGTTCAAGTATAAGAATAACCCACTCTGCATGGCCAGAAGTCACTTTGAGGTCTTATTGGGGGAGGCTTGAAGCCACCGTCAAGCCTGGCCCAACAGATGCCTGAAAGCAGCGACACTTTTAGCAGGGCAGGGCTAAAAACTTCCCAGGCTTCTTCCTGGGGGAAGCAGGGAGAAGCAGTGCTAGGACTTACTGGGTGGAGGGCTTACTATCATCAGTCCTGGCTGCAATGGAGTAAAACAAAGTTTTCTCCCTGATGGGGCAGGGGGACCAGCTGACAATGACTCACCAGATCCACCATCCCCGTCACAGCCCAGCCCTCCATAGCCACCCTCAGGCTGTATTCCTATCCCCTGCAGCACAACGTACAGAAACACAGTGACATCTGAGTGGGAGGGTGACACTGTACTCAACTGGGGAGCTTTCCCCATGGTAGAGAAATAGAACTACTCCTACAGTCTGAACCCGCCTGTCTCCAGTTTCTGCCGTTCCTTCCAGTACCAGAACTTCTCCATCCATGATATACGAAAGGAAGTTGACAATTCCCCAGAAGGGGGGCCGGGGGCCTGCAACTAAGCCCGCCCATGCTTGCTTTTCTCTCCTTTAACATCACACCAGAACACAAGCAGGTCAAAGAACATGTCCCCTGGGACATACGTTGAGTCCTCCCTCCGTATGTGTGCCACAGGCCCACGGCCTGGGCTGGGAAGGTGCGGTCACTCTTAGGAGAGGCTGAAGGAAGATCTCGCTGTGTGTAATTGGATTATGCGCATCACACTTCGTGCCTTTACTCGCTGATTTAACGCTTCACTTCTCAGGTTCATGATTTGGGTAAAACTTAGTGAAGCTGTCTAAGCCTTTTCAGAGCCAATACCTGCCAAGGGCTCCCACCAGAGGATGCAAAGACAGGGCCGCAGCTGCATAAAATGCATGCTTCCTGTGGTCCTAGGGAAGCAAGAGCGGCCTCCCACCTCCGACTGTTCTTTCTCCATCACACAGCAAGGTGGGCACCGCAGCTCAGCATGGACTGAGCATGTAGTGCTCACAACGCGTGTCACCCCCACTTTACAGATGGGGGAACAGACCCAGCAGCAACCAGAGCCAGGACTCAAACCCAGCAACACCCCTCTCCCCACCACGGCTGCCTGGAAGAAAGAAAGAAACGGACCCTAAGGATACTCTCTTCGCCATCCTTTTCCCACACATAAAATTCCATCACCTGAATCCAGCTCAGCCACACCTCGAAGGGAAGGTAAAAACCTTAGGTGTGGCTTTAGAACACCCTGGGTACTTTGTGACAATGAACTATACAATGTTCCTCTTTCTCCCTGCCCCTACTTAAAAAAAAAAAATTAAGTCAACACTTTCCATCATCCCTTGCTCTAATAATTCCCAAGGAAACGAAGATCAAAGTGTCTGCCAGTGGGTAAGCAGGTGAGCACCCTCTACTTCCCAGTCCTAAGGCTTCGAGCCAACACACTGCAATGTAAACAGAGGGTCTTCCTGCTCAGCTGCGCATGCCTGATACATCAGCTCACGGGATCTTTCATCTGCTTGGGAAAGACAGACAAGGCCTTATGCAAGTTGCTGACCAAAGGTCCAATTTCCCTCCCTGTGCTTAGCAATACTGTCCTAGAGGAAAGGACACAGACACAGAAACAGATCTACAGGAACCAACACAGACAAGCTTCTAGCCCGTCTTCCTCGGGTGGGCATCTGAGTCCCCTGTGGACTAGCAGGGGAGTGCATGGGCCTGCCTCCCTCCAGCTTTGCTTCCCTCCCCTCTCCACCCTCCTGACCTTGAATGCTGGCCTTCCTTACCGGGAAGGAAACCCCCCAAAATACTTTAATCCTCATGATAAATTTGCCACTGCTGACCACTATGCCCAGGCCAGATGGACCTAACTGATTTCTCTTCTGAGTTGAGCTGAGTCACAACGTCATGACCCTTCCAACTCTATGCCCAAGAGAGCTATTAAAAAACCAACTATAATGGGTGTGCCATATGAACCCTGTCTAGTCCTCCTCCTCTTTTCACGAACAGGGAAACTGAGACCTGGAGGAACACAGTGACTTGCCCAAAACCCTCCTGACTCCCAGACCAGGGTGCCAGGCTGCTTCTCCTTCGGAGTGGCAAATCCACTAGCTGCTGCCCAGGGCCTCCAACTCTTCCTTGCTGGGGCCAGGATACCTGCCCCTCTGCCATTGGGCCCTTGCCTTCCTCTTCCCCACCCCAGTTCCGGAGGCTGCTCAGCCACAGGGTTGCTCTCAGCCCTCCTCCAAGAAGAGATAAAGAAGGCCCCGACTAGATTAGCAGCTCCTTCAGGCAGGCAGGGCTCCCAGCGTGAGCATGCCTCAGCTGTCCGTAATTCCTGCCTTGTGAGGCTCTGTCAGGCGCAGCGATTAGACGGCTGCCTGCTTAATGACAGGGCGACGGCTGCATTCACTCAGAGAGGAGAAGCAATTACCTTGAAAATGGGGGTCACAGGCCCCACTCGTTGGCTTTAATTGAATTCCAATGTCTGCCTCAAGCTGCCTTGACCTGGCTTGTAGCTTCCTAAATACTCCTTAAAGGAAGTGGAGCTAATCCAAGCGGTGCTTCTTCCCCAATTTTAGTCCTTTCTTAAAACTTTAAAAAAAACACAAACCTTATTTTCATAAGAGGATTTTGATTCCAAAGAGGGAAGCAGATGGGGAGCAGGGACCCCACTGTGGCCACTGCAGGGGTGGTAGGGCTTAGCCTGGAAACCCCCAAGAAGATGCCTGGGAAGGAGGAGTGGGAAAAAAAGGAATTTCAGGTACTGGAACTCACTGAGTATATACCCTGCCCCGACATCCCCTCTACTACGAGCAGAACCACCTCACTGGTCACGGGGACAACAGACATGGGCCACAGGGCTGCAACCAAGCTGAGGAGAAGAGCCCTGGCCTGGCTTGCTGCTAGTGATCCTACATCAGTGCCCCTCTCTGAAAATCAAGGGCATAGCTAGATCAGTGGTTCTCAACCAGGGGCCACTTTGCCCCCCACAGACATTTGGCATTATCTGAAGACATTTCAGGGTGTCACCAGTTTGTGTAGGGTATGTTGTTGACACACACAGTGGCAACAAATCAAGAACGCTGGTGAACATCTCACAATGCACAAGACAACAAGGATTTCATCTGACCCCAAATCTTCAATGGTGTCAAGGCTGAAGAAGCCTGGGCTCCAGGACCACTGAAGATACCTCCAACTTTAAGATAGGACTTTCACTTCTGGGGATGCTGCCTTCCAGCACTGAACACATCCTCATGTTCTAGTTTCCATACCATTCTCTGCCCCTGCCACAGGCTAGTTGAAGGTCTGCTCTTCCCCCAGCAAGGCCAGAATTCACACTAAGCTCATGTTTCCACCCCTCCCCTAGCAGTACTGAGCAGCCCCCTATGGGATTAGGAAGGACAAACCCATCAGGCTGCCTGCACCAAACAACTCTGTAATCATTTCGGGTCCTGACAGTGTGTGGAGAGGTCAGCGTCCACAAGCAACACTCTCTGTCACTGTCACTGACTTCCCAGTGTCCCTGGTAGGAGTGAGGAGAGCCCAGACAGATGAGCCGGCTCACTCTTGCCTTTCACAGATATAGCAACTGAGGCCCAAGGAAGAGAAGGAGCATGCCCAAGGTCACTTGGGAAAACTCTGACTGAAACCCAGGCCTCCAGGTTTCTCCCCCAGATGAAGAAGTCAAGGGTCATCATTTATCCTGTCAAGCAGAAGAAACTTCGGAGGCCTTCAGTTACCATGAAATAATGACCTAAGAACAAAAAGAGGAATGAAGACCAACCAGGATCCCAGAATGTCCAGGCTGATGGGACCTCAGACAAGCAGTCCACTGCCTCCCAAGCCTGACTACTCTTCAGAATGATCTGGAAAACTTCAGAAACACAGATTCCCAGTCCGACCTGGAGACCTGTGGAAAAGAGCTCTGGGGCGAGTGACTTGAAATCTGTACTGCCCAGAAGCTCCCTGCACCAGACCAACCCTACAGATGGGGACCAGGAAGCAGCCATCTCATCAAACCCCTTCACTTGAGGAATGAAAGGTCCCACTGAAAAAAACTGTGAGATTCTCTTAAATATCTTTAGCCTCACACAGAATAGCAAGCAGGGGAAAGATGCTATTGGGTCCAAGAAATGCACTGAAGATGCAAGGCAAGCGGGAGCCCCGAAGGGGAGAGATCTGACTGCCCTTTTCCACCAAGGGGGCAGACCAGTGGTAGGCCTCAGAGCTCTCTTGAGTAATTTTCGTTCCCTGCAAGACAGGACCTCTGGAAGGTCAGCAAGACCTCTCTAGGTGCCCCAGCTGTAAGTCCCAAGGGCACATAATGGAAGCTCAGCCAGGCAGCTTAGCGCAGGGGCAGCAAGACCTAAACCCAAATTCCACAGCACGGTGCACACCCACAGTACAGCAGAGACAGTTCTGATCCCAGGTGGCCAAAGAAGGGCAGACCTCTGCCAGGGGGAGGCAAAGAGGCCCCAGGGGAGATGTGAGGGGGCAGCCAGGTACTGGTGGGTTGGCCTGGCCTCAAGGTGATCTCAGGCCTCTGCCCTCCTCAATGGCAGGGATACCAGAAGCCAGGGGAGGACAAGGTTGATGAGTGTAGAGGTGGATTTCAGGTGTATCTGCACCCCTTTAGCTTGGGGTCTGGGAGTCATTCGGGGAGCCAATGGGGAGAGAGCCTCAAATGGGTCCAAGCCCATGGGATGCTTGCAGAAGCCGGAGCCCTGGGGCCGCCATTCTTTGAGGCCAGCTAAGGTCAGGGTCAATCTCTGGTTATGGTAAATGAGAGGAATAAAAGGGCTATACACACGGTGAGAGGCAGACTGGGGAGTCCACGTACCCCGATGATGGCGTTCAGCTCCGTCATGGTGACCTGCTTGGCGCGTTCCACCGCCTGTGCCACCTGCTGCTGGTGCTGGAGGGAACAGGGTGTGGTTAGAGGTGGCCATCCTCCCCGTCAGAGAGAAGGCAGGGGCTGCATGGCACAGGCAGGGCCTCTAGGGACAGAGTCCCCAGAGAAGTCAGAGGAGCCCCATTGAGCAGGCATAAAACCCAGGTCAGGAGGTGACAGGCTATTTGACTTTTTCCTTTAAACCGTTTTCAATGAGCATGTATTACTTTTGTAATCCAAACTTGAAGTTCTAAACTAGAGATGCAAGCCAGAAGATGGCTATTAGTCAACCACACATATAAAACATTTTTTTCCAGGAAATCTGAATATGAACTGGATATCAGATGATATTACAGAATGATTATTAGTTTTCTAAACACGGCAACAATATCATAATCACGGAGGAGGTATTCCCCTTTTTAGGAGATGCTGTTATACTAGTTATCTTGCAACTTCCATCCAAAGGGTTTGGAAGAAAAGTACCTGTGTTTAGACATGTGTATGTATACCTAATATGTCTAAATAGTGAGGAAACAAAGCATATTTCTAGATAGGTAAAGAAAAGAGCAGTAAAATGAACCCTAACTATAGACTTCTGAGAGCCTATGATATATCCAGGAAGATTAATTAATTATAACAAATGTCCCACTCTGGTATGGGAGGAAGGCTACGGGAAATCTCTGTATATCCCACTCAATTTTGCTGAGAACCTCAAACTACTCTTAAAAAAATAAAGATTTTTTTTCATGTGTTGCATTCTTTCCCACCAGTCTTGAGGTAGCACCAGCCACACACACAGCTGTCTCCCCTACTGGGCTGCAAACTCTGAGGGCATCACTATAACCAATTCTAAAGCTGACTCAGTCATTTATTGGCCACAACTCTGCACAGAAATGCAGGACTCTGCAAAGGAGCTAACATGGTCCCAGCCACGGAGCAGGAGTGGAGATGAGGCCTGCCCCGGCTGAAATGAGATCAACTCATCTGTCTGCCCTGTACAACAGAGGCTCCTTGGAGATAGTTCCCTCAAACCACCCACTAAGCCCAGCCCTTGCCTCAAGCGGGAGTCCCTTGGAAGGTATGCTCAGGTGGTGATGTGACCCCTGGTCACTCCTAGCAAGGGCACTCTGCGCCTGGGGGCTGAGAGTCTGGCCCTGAGCACAGGAAAGCAGGACTGGGAACACTAGTTTAGAGGGGACAGAGGTATCCACTGATCACTCTTCTCTGTGGACTCAGGTGGTGGCAGAGAACCACTTCTATCAGAAGGAGCAAATGGTCCCTCTGATGTGGCCTCCTGATTTCAAACTGGCTGGAGAAGGCTTTGTAAATCCCCAAACTGTCAGATTTGTCAATAGGAATGGCCAGGTGCTGGGCTCCAGAAGACCCCAGCAGCCACTGGGCTGATTTGGAAAGAAAAAGAGAAAACGGTAACATAAGATCTTACCTCTTGTGACAGGAAAGGCATGATCTGGGCTAAAATTGTGTTCAGTCTCTTCGCAATCTCTGTCTGCAAGGGCAAAGAGACCACATGACGCTCAGGCAAATAAATCAAGTCACCAAAATGTCACAGACAAGTGCAAGTGCAAACTCCCCCAAACCACAGCCCCTCACCAAGGGGGGGCTCTGTCCTCTTCACCCTCAGTCCACCCCCTGCCAGAAGGCTCTTGCTCAACCTACAGCATGAAGAAATCTCCCCCAACTCCCCCTGCACTGAAGCCAGGCTGCCTATACTTTGGGGAGCTCCAATTTCCTACCAGAGGTGGTCTGTTTGGTCAGGATAGTTTGCAACCTCTGCATGAATCCTTAATTAAAAACAAAGCCAAACAAACAAAAATCCACCCTCCCACATCTCAGCAAAACCCACAAGAGTGAAATGCAATTTGGTGAGGGAGGAACTGCTTTGCCCAATTGTGTCCAATGGCAACAGGACACAGGCTCTCAGACAAACTGGTGGGGGGCAACGGGGAAGGGGCACTAAGAGAAGCCCCAGGAATGCATGAGGTAAAGGGTTCCCTGGGGTCAGCCTTACATGTACCCTGCCTTTCACTGCTGCCTTTCCCCAACCAAGACCAATCCCTCCCCCACACGTGTCACCAGCCTGGTACCCCACCATTAATGCTTCAGTTTTTAGGGTACAGCAATTGCCTTGTCTAAGAAACTGCTTAAAGAGGTAAAATCACTAGATCCCTAACCCCTTGTAGAGGTTGGGACGTCCTAGTAAGGTAGATCAGTTCTTAGCCTCCAACTCATACACCCCTCCAAAAGTTTGCATTTAGGAAAACATTAGCTGTCTCCACCAGTGTCCTGTGAAGCCCTGATCTCAGACCAAGAATGGTGCTAAATGGTTAACCGAATCCAGACAGAAAGGCCTAGAACCACTCACTGACAGACAACTTTCAAAACTGCTTTTCTTATCTCATTCTGAATCCTGAGCCTGCCAGGACTGAGGTCCCAAAGCTGGCTTCAAAGCTTTCATCAGCGCATAGCAATCTTTCAGAGACAAAACCATGACAACAGCCTTTAAAAATCTGTGATCATCTGCATGTCAAATGATTCTGGATGAGAAATGCTCGTGCACTTAAAATAAAAACAATGCTGTCTGAAGGCTTACAAACAGACCCTGGGCCTCAGGAGAATTCCTGGAGTCAACACCCTCCACCCCTCTACCCCTCCACCCCCCAGCCACTAAAGCCAACAGCTTGGTCTGTGAAGGGACAGGTCATCCTCTAAAAACCTGATGGGCTTTTGAGGGCCTGTGTCCTGGGCTGCTGGCCACAGTGCCAGGGCTCGCCAACCTACAGAGCCCATCCACTACAGCAAGGGATCCTGGCAGGGGGACAAGGGATTGCTGCTGTCAGCTTTTTGCCTGGAACACCCGGATCCTCAAGAACAGAGCCAATGTTTCCCAGCAGGCGCCATTGTTGGCATTTGAGGTGGAACAATTCTTGTTGTGAAGGACTGTCCCTCATAGCCCAGACCAACTGTATCAATAAAATGGTTCTCACTTCCAAACTTCCAGGGGAGGAAGCATCACCTCCAGCTCAGACCCACTGGGACCTGACATTTGCACATTTGTGGTGCACTTTAGCAAGGAACACCACACATCAGGGTTTCTCAACCGCCATGCTATTGACATTTCAAGCCAGAGAATTCTTTGTTGTGTGGAGCTGTTCTGTGTACTGTAGGATTTTTAATAGTGTCTCTAGCTTCCACCCGCCAGGAGCCCGTCACTCATACTGTAAGGAATGTGGAAGGATTACTAAATAATTATTACGTAAATCAGTAATTTAGGTAAGTGGCAAGAATTCTCCAAAATAGGGTCCTTTCTCATTCTGCTTACTTTTTCCTCCCCCAAATCACCTGATAGTAGGGAAGGGGAATGAAATAAAAGTCAGGGTCGTATGGAGAAACAATCAGCTAGCTTGCATCTCAAGTGCAAATCTACGCAGAGCAACAAGTCCACTCTCCCGTCTTATGCTCACATGCCAAATAAGAATAGAAAGGTACATTAACAACAAAAAACAGACAAAAATAAAATAACCCAGTCTTATGGTTTTTTTATTTTTTTTTTTTTGAGAGTCTTACTTTTGTCACCCTCGGTAGAGTACTGTGGCATCATAGCTCACAGCAACCTCAAACTCTTGGGCTCAAGCAATTCCCTTGCCTCAGCCTCCTGAGTAGCTGGGACTACAGGTACCTGCCACAAAGCCCGGTTATTTTTAGAGGCGGGGTCTTGCTCTGGCTCAGGCTGATCTTGAACCTGTGAGCTCAGGCAATCCACCCACCTCGGCTTCCCAGAGTGCTAGGCTTACAGGCGTGAGAAATTGCACCCGGCCCAGGCTTATGGTTTGTATGCTCATGGGTTTAAGTCCTGTTAAATTCTGGAAGAAAGGGGTGTGGAGAAAGCGTGCAAACCCCATCCTCCCAGCTATAACTATACCATCAGCTGCTATCCCCCGCTTTGTCTCCTCAAAAAGTAGGAGTAAAGATTGAGCCTCACTTCTCTTAACAGAGGCTGCCCAACCCTGAAAATGGGCTCAGTACACTCTGGTGAGTCAAAGAATGAACAGGAAAACTGTTCACTAAACAATGTTTTTAAGGTTTGTTTTTGAGGGTGGCGATTGGGGGAAGGGAAGTTCCTGGAAATAGAAAGTTAGCCAGCCGCACAGAGCCACTTTGAACAATAGTCATAATGGCTAACATCCGCTGACCCAACTGTTGCAAGCTAGCATTTTACACGTGTGAGCTCACAATAGCCCCACAAGGAAAGTACTTAAACATTTCCATTTTTCAGATGGAGAAACCAAAGCTCAGCAATGAAGCAACTTCACTAAATGACTTCCTATGAAGAAGCCAAATTTTGACATTTTGAGAGTTTCGAGAAATATTTTTGAAAGAAAAAACCACCATTAGGGTTAATAATTGACAGCAGGTCCAATTAGAACAGCTGTTAAAACAGCATTTGATCCAACTCAAACAAGCTCTAAACATCAGTTCCAAAAAAGGGGAGGGGATCAAGACGGGTGACTTCAACAACTGGGACAGGTCACAAATTACCAATTAGAACTGGACCATACGTTGGAAAACTGCTTTTGGCGACTCAGTGAAATCTGTTACCAATAAGGTGGCTGTGTGTTCTCGAGGTCACCTCTGCGCTTCCCTCCATCTTGGGTGCTACAAAGCCACTGTTTTTGAGCCTGGGCTTCAGAAGCAAACCTGAGAAGAGCGGGTGGGAACACGGCTTCCTTTGGAAAGCACTTTGGAAAAAGGTGTTTGGGGAGGCTGGTGCTGCCTTTGAAATTTCCTTTTCAAGTATGGCTCAAAGAAGGAGGCTTTGCTGGTAGGAAAACATTGTTCCTCAGAAGGAACTAATCTACTAGCCACAGACAGAGACATTCAGAGAAACAGGCACAGAGGTCCCGCTACATCCAGTCTGCGCTACCAACTGGGTGCTGGGAATAACATCTGCCCTGAATCTCTGTCGAGGTTGTTAGGCAAATAAATGACAGAAAACAAGATAGTGAGGGGCAAGTGTAATTTCCCAAAGAGCAATCTGTTCAGTGTGCCTTAGCAGCTCCCATTTGCATGCTCATCTCCTCGTTAAAGCAGGACCTCGAACATCCCGCGGCAGACCCAGGGCACTTGAGCGTTCTCCAACTGTATTTTGCTAACAACACTCGGGTATTCACTTTTGCTGCTACTCTGGACCATCCTTACTTAGCCCTTGACTCAAGGTACTGAATTAAGGGGCACAGAGCCTGCCCTCAATCCTCGCCCGGAAACCACTTGCTCCAGGGCACCCCAGCCAGTCCTCAGCCTTTATTTTTAATTTAGCCGACTGTGCCCAATACACAGTCAAGAGCCACTTCCACCAACAGATGGTCTCTGTGCTAGTTAGTTCTAAACTGCCCAGTTGCCTGTACCTATGGACTCTTGAATGCACACTTCCTTTTAACCTTAGCCAAATAAAAACAAGGAGAGGAGAAAATTGCCACTTTAAAGAGCACGTTACTATCCAAAACCACGCAGGGATGACCTGGCTTTTCCTTCCCACTCTGCCTCCATCTCACTGTGTGGCTTTGGGCAAACCACTTCCCGCCTCTGGGCATTCATTTTGCTACATGCAAAATGGAGGGGTAAACTAGGCAACTTCTAAGATCTAGGGGCTCCAAGTTAGAGCTTCAAATATCCCCTAAATATTCCCCAATTGCTCTGGGACATATTTCTTCCATAAAGTTGCATGAATGTTAAGTCCCGGCAGAGAGGAGCCAGCCTTGAGATGTGTGTGGATGGATGCTGGACGGCTTTGGGATGTGGATGGATGCTGGGCAATGGCTGGGGACACTAGCTAGGGCCAGGTCCTGAGGACGGGTCTTCATCACATAAGCCATTCCAATTTGCCCAGGGGCAAAACTTCACATAACTGTCACAGAGCCTCCAGGCAAGAACAATAACATACTTCTAAGTGTCAGGTACCTACTGTCCAGATTCTACAATTCACAAGAAAAGACTGGTTGGTGAGCCTAAGACAGCCAGACAAGAATTCTTCAAGATGGTTCATTTAGCAGGAAATAATCTAAGGTCTGTCAGACAGGCAAACTACCCCTCAACGCTACCAGGCTCCTGGTTACATTTCTAAAATGAAGATTTCTTCCTCAGAGAGTCAGGGCAACATCTTGGAAAGAGCACTTTACTGTGAGTCTGGAGACCCATTTGTGGCTGTGTGTGAGGAAGATGAGACCCAAGGAGAGAGACATGCCCATCTGAAATGTGAATTACACCTCAAAGCCATGGGGAAGTGATGGTTTCCATCCTAGCTCTGTGTCTGGCATGTGGTCTTTGGGCATCAAGTTACTTCTATAAAGACCTGTGTGTTTGGTGTGGGGCCTCAGTTATCTCTGGAGGTGTTGAATTTTAATTAGGTTTTACCTGGTTCTCTGAGTCCTGGGGTATGTGAAGTGTGTCTGCCTCGACTTGAATTAAGATCCCAGGGCTGCAGGTGGGGTG